GTAGGCCACCAGAACCGCTGCGCTACCAGGAAGGCAGTCCTGGTTACCCCAGGATGGCAGGCCAGGCGTGATGAATGCCCCCATTTCAACACCGCCGGGCGAAAACCTGGGGGAACAAACAAACAGTGCGGGGGGCATCCAGACGGAATGGTAGTGGGGTCTCGGACTGCAGCATTGATCCTGCGCTCCAAGGACCAACGAGAGACCCCAAGGACCAAGTTGGGCGGCACGATGAACGTGGACTCTGACTCCAAAGCCTCACCCTCCTGCTGGTACTGGCGGGACAGGGCATCAGGTTTAATGTTCTTACTGCCCGGACGGAAGGAGAGGTTGAAGTTAAACCTGTCAAAAAACAGAGCCCACCGTGCTTGGCGGGGGTTAAGGCGCTTGGCAGTCCGTACATACTCCAAGTTCTTATGGTCGGTCCACACCAAAAACGGCTGCTCAGCACCCTCCAACCAGTGGCGCCATTCTTCGAGTGCTAGCTTAACAGCTAGCAACTCTCTGTTCCCTATGTCGTAATTTCTCTCTGCAGGAGTGAGCTTGCAGGAGAAATACGCGCAGGGATGTACTTTATTATCAGACGCTCTCTGTGACAGCACAGCACCCACCCCTGACTCAGACGCATCAACCTCCACAATGAATTGCTTGGAGGTGTCAGGCTGGGTCAGGATAGGGGCCGCAGAGAACCGTCTTTTGAGCTCGGCAAAGGCCATGTCGGCAGCAGTGTCCCAGACAAAACGTACCTTAGCCGAGGTGAGTCTGTGGAGGGGTGCAGCCACGCCACTGAAACCTCTGATGAAGCGCCTGTAGAAGTTGGCGAACCCCAGGAAGCGTTGAAGCTGCTTCCGACCAGTAGGTACAGGCCACTCGAGAACCGCTTTGACCTTGTCACAGTCCATCTGTACCTCTCCAGGCGTGATTACATGCCCCAAGAACTTAGTCTTGGTGGTGTGAAACTCACACTTTTCAGCCTTACAGAAGAGCTGGTTCTCAAGTAGGCGCTGCAGAACGGCCCTGACGTGCTGCACATGTGTTTTACGGTCTGGGGAGAAAATTAAAATGTCATCCAGATAGACGTACACAAATCTGTTAATCATGTCCTTCAACACATCATTAATAAAACACTGAAACACAGCTGGTGCGTTTGTCAGTCCAAAAGGCATCACCAGGTATTCAAAATGGCCGCACGGGGTGTTGAAGGCAGTTTTCCACTCATCCCCCTCCCGTATGCGCACCAGATGATAAGCGTTCCGTAGATCCAGCTTAGTGAACACCCGAGCCCCTCTAATCTGGTCAAAGGCAGACTGCAAGAGAGGCAGGGGGTAAGTGTTACGAACCGTGACGCTATTCAGACCCCTGTAGTCAATACACGGCCGTAAACCCCCATCCTTCTTGCCCACAAAGAAAAACCCTGCCCCCGCAGGTGATGAGGATGGCCGAATAATGCCTGCCTGTAAGCCCTCCTGAATGTATTCCTCCATGGCTGTTGTCTCAGGGATGGACAGAGGATAGAGACGGCCTTTAGGAGGTTGAGCACCAGGAAGGAGGTCCACAGCACAGTCGTAAGGACGGTGAGGGGGCAGGTTCTTAGCACGAACCTTACTGAACACCGCAGCCAAGTCTGTATATTAGGGGGGAACATTACTGATGTCAGGTGGTTCCAAGGGAGGCTGGCTAGAAACAGGGCGAACAGGAGCAGCAGACAAACAGTTCAATAAACAAAAAGGACTCCACGTCAACACGCGGCCAGAAACCCAGTCAATATGGGGACAGTGTTTGCTTAGCCAGGGGTAACCCAGGATCACAGGAGGCACTAAAGAGTCAACCACAAAAAAACACATCCGCTCTGTGTGGTTCCCAGAGACCGTCACAGTGACAGGAACAGTGCGTGCAGTCACCTTGTGGATAAGGGAACCATTTACAGCATGGATGGACAATGCAGGAAACACCTCCTCGACTGGAATCAGAAGTTCGCTTACCACTGCCTGGGACATCAGATCCCCATCAGAGCCGGAGTCAATAAGGGTGTCATATTCACCGTGTTTTGTCCCATATGTCAACCGCACACTGGTGGGCGGTCGTGAGGGCGGAGAAAAGGATGACACCCGACCCGCTAGCTGCATGGGCTCCGAGGGCGGGGCGTCACTGCCCAGGTGAGAAACACTCACAGAAATCGGGTGAGGACGAGGTGAAGAAGTCAGTGGGCGGAGCTCATCATGAAGGCGCTCCATCCTCCGCCGATCGATGCGTACAGCCAGATCGATAAGATCCTCCAGCTCCTCAGGAACCTCCCTCGCGGCTAGCTCGTCCTTGAGCTCGCTGGAGAGCCCCTGAAGGAAGACGTCGACCAGTGCATCATCAGGCCAGCGGGAGCTTGCCGCCAGCGTCCGGAACTGTACTGCATAGGACGCCACGCTGTCATCTCCTTGTTTGAGCCGGAGCAGCTCAGAAGCAGCCGCGCGGTGCGGTGTTGAGGGATCAAACACCACGAGGAGTTGAGTGGAAAAGGCCCGGAAGGAACGACCCACCTCCGCTCCACGATCCCACTCAGCCAGCCCCCACCTCTCGGCTCTGCCCGTCAGGAAACTCAAGGCAAAAGCCACCTTGCTCTGCTCCGAGGGGAATTCGCTTGGATTAAAATCAAAATGGAGCCGGCAGGAGGTGAGGAATGGTCGACAATCCTCTGCGGTACCAGAAAAAGTTTCAGGACGACCCAAACGAACCTGTCGAGGGGGAGCAGGCGCTTGCTCCAGTCTGGCTACACGTCCATGCAACTGCTGCAACCCTGACATGCAGCTGCGGAGCTCCTGGGTCAGAACAGGAAGGCTGGCTTCTCCTGCAGCACCCTCACCAGAGGCAGGTAAGGAAGGGTCTTGTCTCTGGGTTCTTCCTGCTGGGTCAGACATCTGGGTGGAGTTGTAATGTCACGGTTTGCCTCTGCAGTAGCCCATTTGCAGGAATAAAGATCCTTTATCCAGAGTTCAAAAAAGATTTAATAAACAAACTTCCTCCACTGACTGTGGGAACCAAAAACCAAAACCAAACTCAATCCATACAAGTACAACTCAGCAAAGACAACTCCACACTGATGACTGGCAGCAGTGGCCTGAAATAGGGTGAGGGCAATCAAGATGATGTGGTTCAGCTGCAGCACTCCAGGAGGTTCACAGGGAAGGGGAGGATTCCTGAGAGGAGCTGCAGCTGACCTGAACAAAAACAACAGAGAAAAAGTTAAACACAAACACAAAAAGGGGCGAATCATAACAAAGTGACAAGTCTCTAGAAGAGACCGGGTTTGGAAAACTCTCACTTCAGTGGAAGGAATCTTCCCGCATGCGCTCTGGTTCTGCAGCGCGTTCCAAGCCCCTCTCCACATCTTCAGCTCGCTGTGCACCTTATGTACGCGCTGACTGAGCGGTTTCCAGCTCAGATGTTCAGAAGGAAATCTTTTCTTGAGTGATTTAGCTACATCTGCGATTTGCGAAACGAATAAAGTGTCAGTTCGTCTGCATGAGTCGGGGTAATTCTTTCTATTTTTTCTCTGTCAAAATAAACGGCCAAATACGGGAACTGTCCGGTCAACACAAGCCCTGCTTTTAACTGTTTTGTTTTCTTGCGAAAATTGTTACAAATTTAACTTGATTAACACCAGAACCAGGCGCACTGCGCCGTTATCTCCATCACTGTAAATGAGGGAAAAACAAATTGATCGGATCCTTTTCTGACCTTCCCCACCTACAAAGTATAATTACAACAATCAAACGTGACAGAGCCTGGATATGCATTCTGAACAGTCTAAACATGTTTTAAAAAGAAACGTATGACAAAAGTGGCACCTGCTCAGTAAAACCACCAACAGGGTGAAAAATATCAAAATATTGTAGCAGAGACGGGCTACAACTTCTGGATCCATTTTATATAAATCGTTTTATTCATTATCTTCTTATGAAAGACAGCTTTGACGTACACGAGCGACCGGTACTGGCTGCTGTCACCTGTTGTGAGCAGCTCTCTGCTGTCTGAGGGTAGGCCCCGCCCACAACGCCGCGACTGCTGTGGTGTTTTCTTTACTGTGGGAAACGGGTAATAATGGCTCTTTGATGGGAACAGGTTGCTCACCCCTGGTTTAGCGTGACGTCTGATATATATTTATATATATATATATATATATATATATATATATATATATATATATATATATATATATATATATATATAGCCATGCCCTGATGTGGGGCTGGGGGGTGCGTCAACATGGTTGGGACATAGAAGGGGGTGCGCGGCTAAATAAGTTTGGGAGCCACTGCTGTAGACGTTTTCCAACTGCATGGATCAACTAAGGCAGTTTCTTTAGATCTTATTGTGAGGTATTCATTTTCTTTTTCTTGTGTGAACTTTATTTACAGCCTTGTTGTTGTAAGGGTAGATTATTTGCAGATTTACAGGTTATGACAGAAAATGTGAATAATACAAACTAGAGGGCTATGAAGGTGTAATTTAACTTATCATTGCTGATTGGCAAAAGCAAAAGCTTTTGTTTTGTGTGGTTCTTAGATTCACAGGAAGGCTGTTCCACAGCTGAGGACCAGCCACAGGGAGCCCTTTCTCCCTGAGTTTTTAAGTGTGTTTTTGGACCAATTGAAAAAGGCCATGAGCTAGATCTCATGTTTCTGGTGGGAGTGTAGATGGACAATAACTCGCTGACGCATGGTGAATCCATGAAGAGATTTAAAAACAAAGAGGACTTTGAAAGGATTCCTGTTGTACACAGGGATCCAATGAAGATGTGCCAGTACTGGGGTTATATGTTCACACTTTATGGTGCTAGTCAGTAAGCTCCATTTTGAACCAACTGGAGTCTATTTAAAGATAACTGATCCAGGCCCAAGTAAAGTCAAAATATTACATGTCTAAACATGTCTGTACCTTTACTCCTGTCCTACCCTTTGATCACTTTGGTTTCACTCATTTGACTATTTCCTCTCTGTCTTCCACAGCCCAAATACAGCCATCAAGAAATGTCACAGAAGAGGTTATTTGTGGTCCTTCTTCTTGTTTGTACTCTCAGTCTTTTGGTGTACAACAGGAACTACTTTAGCTGGTTAGTGATTGAAATGCAAACACACTTTTTTTTCAAACTGCTTCTCTTGTCTACCAACTATTTCTGTCATGAATATTGTTTCTACATTGCTGTTTGCCTCAGCTTGAATTACTTAAAACATACATTTTTATTTTTAATCTAAGGAAATTGGATACCTTTAGTGTGCTGCATTTGACTACTCTGGCTCCCTTTGTTCAACAAAAACAGACGCAACAACCACAACAGCACCACCAACAACAAAAACAACAGCAGCAAAAACCACCACAGCAGGAACAGCAACAACAAAAACAGCAGCAACAGCAAACATTAAAGCAGCAACAGAAACAACTAAAGCAGCAGCAACAACAAGAACAACAGCAGAAGCAGCTACAACTAAAGCAGCAGCAACAACAGCAGCAGCGACAACAACAACAGCAGCAGGAACAGCAACAAAAACAGCAGCAGCAGCAGCAACAACAACAACAGGAGCAACAACAGCAGGAGAAACAACAACAACAACAACAAAAACTGCAGCAGCAACAACAACAGCAACAACAACAGGAGCAGAACCAACAACAACAGCAGGAGAAACAACAACAACAGGAGCAGCAACAACAACAGCAGCAACAAGAACAGGAGCAACAAGAACAACAACAGCAGCAGCAGCAGCAGCAACAAGAACAACAACAGCAGGAGAAACAACTACAACTGCAGCAACAGCAACAACAGGAGCAACAACAACAGGAGCAGAACCAACAACAACAGCAGGAGAAACAACAACAACAGGAGCCGAATCAACAACAACAACAACAACAGCAGCAACAACAACAACAGGAGCAGAATCAACAACAACAACAGCAGCAACAAGAAAAGGAGAAACAACAACAACAACAGCAGCAGCAACAAGAACAACAGCAACAGCAGCAACAACCACAGGAGCAGAACCAACAACAACAACAGCAGCTACAACAACAGCAGCAACAAGAACAGGAGCAGCAGCAGCAACAACAACAACAGCAGCAGCAGCAACAACAACAACAACAGCAGGAGAAACAACAACAGGAGCAACAACAACAGGAGCAGATGCAACAACAACAGCAGGAGAAACAACAACAACAGGAGCAGAATCAACAACAACAACAGCAGCAACAACTACAGGAGCAGAACCAACAACAACAGCAGGAGAAACAACAACAACAGGAGCAGCATCAACAACAACAACAACAGCAGCAACAAGAAAAGGAGAAACAACAACAACAGCAGCAACAAGAACAACAACAGGAGCAGAATCAACAACAGCAGCAACAACCACAGGAGCAGAACCAACAACAACAGCAGGAGAAACAACAACAACAGGAGCAGAATCAACAACAACAACAGCAGCAACAGCAAAGGGAAATGAAACAGTACCCTATCCTTGGCTCTACCCCAGCCTCCAATCCGAAGCCGAAGCACACCAACATTGTCTTCCTCAAGACCCACAAAACGGCCAGCACCACCATCCAGAACATGCTGTTTCGTTTTGCTGAGCGCAACAACCTGACAGTGGCATTGCCTACGCAAAGCTGTGGTCACCAGTTTTGTTACCCACTTTCCTTCTCCACTAAGTTTGTTTATCCACAAAAAAAACCACCGAACATAATCACTAGTCACATGCGCTTCAATCGATATGCAGTACAAAGCCTTATGCCAGACAATACAATATACTTCACTATCCTGAGGGAGCCAGCTTCTATGTTTGAATCTTTGTTCAGTTACTATGGTAACCATAGTGAGGCCTTCAGGAGGGTCCCTCAAGGCTCCCTGAAAGCCTTCTTAGCAAACCCCTTAAAATACTACCGGCCACAAGGGAAGAACGCCATGTATGTTCACAACACTTTGACCTTTGACTTAGGTGGTAACAAAGATTGGCCAAGAGGGGATGTGGCTTCTGCAAAAGCCTTTGTGGCAAAGGTGGAGAAAGTTTTTTCCTTGGTGATGATTTCTGAGTATTTTGATGAATCTCTAGTTCTTCTTCGACATCTTCTCTCTTGGGACTTGGAAGACATTGTGTATATTAAACTTAACATGAGAACTGAACAATCTAAGAAGAGTCTTTCTTCGGATGTTTCTGAAAAGATCTATGCCTGGAATTCCATGGATGCATACCTTTATGAGTACTTTAATGCATCATTCTGGGTCAAACTGTCAGAACTGGGCCTAGACAGTGTGGCGAAGGAAGTGGATCTTATTCGACAGGCCCAACAGAAGCTAATGAAAAGCTGTTTTGGTGGGCAGTTACCACTTCAGCGTTCGGCTTCTGAGATCAAACGCAAGGAACTCCGTCCTTGGGAGCCCAGTAAAAAAGTTGGCATAGTTGGTTATGAACTCCCATCAAATATTGGCAAGAAGGCAAAGGAGCTCTGCCTCAAGTACATCATGCCAGAGGTCACATACACAACCAGGCTTCTTTACAACCAGTTACTGCAACAGCGGCAAAAATGAGTTCAACGCAAACACTCCAAAACAGTCCACCATAAATCTTCCAAGTCTACTGCCTTGTAATTTGATCATAGTGACAAGTCAGACTGTCTTTCTTGTTTAATCCAGAAGCATTTTGGTATAAAAAAGTTTGAAAACAAAGGTTAACCATATCTGGACTTCAGCCAACTACAATGGACCAGAATGGGTTTTATGTAAAAGTGGTCCCCTGTAGAATATCCGCTACATGCGTCTTGAATTCAATGGATAATACAATGTTAAGCTCAGAGTGTGCATTGTCTGATATGGACATTGGTATCAAATTTCCTAAATGTATTTTTTGTTTTCTAACCTCAGTGTAGCTCAAACACTTGGTTATTTGGTGATGGTGGCACAGGAGTTAGGTGTTCGCTCCGTAACCGGAAGGTTGCAGGTTCGAGCCCCACTCAGTTTGTCGCTGTCGTTGTGTCCTTTGGCAAGACACTTTACCCCCCTTGCCTGCTGGTGGTGGTCGGAGGGACCGGTGGCACCAATGCTTGGCAGCCTCGCCTCTGTCAGTGCTCATCCCCACCAGGGTGTGAATGTGTGTATGAATGGGTGAATGACTGATTGTGATGTAAAGTGCCTTGGGGTTTCCAGGACTCTAGAAGGTGCTTTATCAAATATCAAATACAGGCCATGTACGCCACCTAAAGTCTTTGACTTGCATATTGACAATAGAAGACTGGTTATCAGGCCTCTGAAACAGACAGACTGAATCAAACAATCAACACCAACACAAGAACAAACAAACGTTATTTCGTTTTCGTCTATCTTAAATCTAGTTGTGATGCAAAATGTAGTTGGTTTAATTCACAAAACAAACAAAAATAAACTTGTCTTATCATATGTTAGACCATGCAACCATGCTTATAGACCAGATCTGAATGAGAAGTTTGACCGAATGAAAACCATGAGCAAATTATTTTCTGTGGCCTTGCAGTGCGTGCTTCGTGTAGTGGGTTTGGTCGAATTGATGGAAAAACAAGATTCTAGGTGAGAAGCATTGTTTTTATCACATATCAACCCCTTGGAATCATAACATGGTCAGAGTGAGTTGGAGATCAATGTAGCCAAGGAGCTCATTACATCTCTGAAACAAGACTTTACTGTGGAACCTCTAATCAGTCTGTTGAACGTGAGGAACACTTTAAATACTTAGGCTCATTCAGACTGTCGGCTCAGTTTAGCCAAAAACACTGACTACATCTTTAAGAAATGCTCACAGAGAAAAGCTTGGAAGTCTGGGTGTCAGTCGGCAAACCCTAGAGCTTGTTTATAAAGCAACTGTGAAGAGCATTCTGACTCTGCACCTCCCAGCCTGGTCTGGTCATGTGAACTGCAAATTCACGTCTGCGAATTGTCTCGTGGGCAGACAAAATAGTTGACAGACCTCAGAAAACTTTCTCCCAGTTGGCTGCTGAAAGAATGAGGAACATTGCAAGTAACATTTGGGCCATTCCCATCTGTACCGGGTCGGCCCGGGCCGGGTAGCCCCAGTCGGCCCCAGCCTGGCCCGGTTGATTCCACACATCCTTGCCTTAAGCCCATGTGGGCTGATTCTACCCACCAATCAGAGGCTTGCACTAATGGAAGGTGTGAATTTGCTGTCAGCGGTGGGTGTGTTGGCCCTGGTCGGCCTGAAGCAGACCCCCTCGAGAAGAGGGCTGAGAATGAGCCTTGGTTGGCCCGGAAAAATACCAGGCCACCCAGATATGTAAACAACCTACGCTACCCGGCCCGGGCCGACCCGGTACAGATGGGAATGGCCCAATAGTAGCAGACAGCAGTCATCCTCTCTTCTGTCAGTTTGAAGCCTTGAGTTCAGGAAGGCATTTTAGGGTGCCTCTTGCAGCCAAAATATCTATATAAGAAATCATTTGTACCAAGTGCTGTATTGATCCTTAACCAAGGTAAATGATGAGACCCAACCAGAGGACAAAGTGTCATGAATGCTTGTATGTATGAATGTGCATATACTCCACGATAGACAATAAAGTTGTTTTCTATTCTATTCTATTCTATTCTATTCTATTCTATTCTATTCTATTCTATTATATTATATTATATTATATCCCCACTAGAACCAGTGTCTACCCAATAATTGGATACATTTTTGGAGCACACCCTGGATAGTTTGCCACTTCAGACCAGGACCACATAGAGTGGGGGTCGGCAACCCGCGGCTCTCTGTGCTTGTAAAATAATGAATGGATGTTTAAATAAAATGCTTTATATTTTACTGCATTAAGTTTACATCTGTATGCCAATTCTAAATGTAAAGATTGTCTGCGTAAACCTGAACAGTTCCAACCCGGTCTTACTGTGAGACCGGGTTGACGGGTCACGCTTGTGCGTATTCATAGGCGCTTTCTGAGCTGAAGAGGATGTGAGATTCTGGGACTCTCCTCAGACAGGCTCCTGGATGTGTCGCCACATTGGAGACAGGAACAAGCACTATTCAGCCAAAGTTTCATAATCAGGGAACATTTTATAAGTGACAAGTCTCGCTTCAGTCGGAGGAATCTTCCTGCATGCGCTCTGGCTCTGCGACGCGCTCCAAGCCCCTCTCCACATCTTCAGCTCGCTGTGCACCGTACGTACACGCTGACAGTGAGCTGCGCTGAGCAGTGTCCAGCTCAGATGTTCAGATGGGAATCTTTTCTTGAGTGATTTAGCTACATCTGCGATGTGCGTAGAATAAAATGTCAGTTCGTCTGCATGTGTCGGGGTCAAGGCCGGATTAACCATATGGGCAACTGGGCAATTGCCCAGGGCCCACAAACTCTAAAGGGCCCAGGGCAGCAAGGGTACGAGCAAAATACTGTAGGCCTATCTGTAATCTCCCGCTTTATAAACTATGGTGACCGTACGTCTGGTTTTCCCCGGACATGTCCACTTTTCACTCTCTGTCTGGACTGGGGGTTCTTGATGAAAATGTCCGGCTTTTCATCCAGGAGCAGGGATCGAATTATGTGGGAGCTGGATATCCTACATCCAGGCGAGCCGGGAAAAAGTTTTCTACCTATATTACATCATTTACGGACTCTTCTGACAAGAGAGCACAGAGAGCGGCACAGCGCTGCGTTGTTGCGCAGCGCTCCAGGCTGCTGCTTCCAGCGCACGGTCCATTCTCAAAGTGACGCAACCAAAAAACTATAATTAGCACACGATCGTTCATGTCCACACATGTTCTCTATTTTCTGTCTTATTTGCGCCTGAAGCGCTCTACTGCGGAGCCCTGTGCTGCGGTGATTTCACCTTACTGACGCAGGATCGAAACGCGCTCTCCGCTTTGCGGTCAGGAGATCTCTTTGATCTGCTCAAAAGTAACCGATGAGGTGAAAAAGTAAGAATCCAGGCAGCAGATTTTCTGGAGAGCTTAGAGGAGATGCAGGAAGATGAGAGACACAGGACAGGAAAATGGTTCAATAAAAGCAAGAAAACAAAACAAAGTGTTGAAAAGTAAAATGTAGGTAGATTTATCTGCACTACATGTTTTTACCTGTATAAAAACAATAAGTTATACACATGTAATATTTATACAATTCAGATCACCTTCGTAACTCAATCACACACCCAGGGCTGTTTCAAGACATTTTGGGGGCCAAGGCTAAATGACCCCCCCCCCCCCCCCCCCCCCCAACTGGGCTCCCCAGAAGCCTCTGAGTAATTATTACCCTGTCCAGGAGTGTTAGTTATACAGTGTTTGTAAAAGCCCCTCAGACATTACTGACATGTTCTAATATTATCAGATTAAAAACTAAATGATCAGACATGCTGTCTCATCTGTTTATTGTCTAAACTTGCAAAAAGTAACAAAACTATTTGAAAGCCACTATTTGTGGATTCTCTGAAAGTTTCCATGGAGTGTGTGACAACTTATATTTTCATTGATCCTATCGTCTAATCTCACAGCTGAAACAAGCATCCTTAATAATCTGTGCACAGGAAGCTTGCCGATGCTGTAGTAAAACAAAAGGTATAATAATTTATTATTAATAAAACCTTGTTGCAGCACAAAAGCAGAAAAATGAGATTTTGCAATAAATATGCTAAATATTTACATATGAATTGTTTTAGAGCCCTTTTGTTGGCAGAATCTGATATTAATTTAGTTCTTACAAAAAAAGGATACCACTGTGGTTTGTGTGGCGTTGCCATAGTTTTGCATCATAGGCACAGATCCCATGTCCTCTTTTTTGGAAATGGAAATATGGTCACCCTATATTCAAACAAACTGTCCACCCGGGCTTTTGCGCTGCACAGAGACGCTTTGCTGCCTATGACTTTGAACGTCAGTTGAGTCAGTCTCATGCAGACTGACCAATGAAGAGAGGGCCTCAAGTTAAGACCCTCTCCTCATTGGTCAGTCCACACAAGGTGGGTCAAAGGTTACCCTGAGCGGGTTACGTGATGTCAGGCATTCAAGTATTTAGTATATTTACTGCATATTACAGTAAAATATTCTGTATGTGACCACATTATGGTGATCCTTGGGTCCTGATGATAGGGCCCTTGAATATTGTTGCCCAGGGTACAACAAAGTGTTAATCTGGCCCTGGTCGGGGTAACTCTTTCTATTCATTCTCCGTCAAAATAAACGGTCAAATACGAGAACTATCCGGTCAACACAAGCCCTGCTTTTAACTGTTCTGTTTTCTTGTGAAAATTGTTGCAAAGAGATATAATTAAACTTGATTAACACCAGAGCCAGGCGCACTGCACCGTTGTCTCCGTCATTGTAAATGAGGGAATAACAAATTGATCGGATCCTTTTCTGACCTTCCCCACCTACAATGTTTAATTACAACAATCAAACGTGACAGAGCCTGGATTTGTATTCTGAACAGTCTAAACATGTTTTAAAAAGAAACGTATGACAAAAGTGGCACCTGCTCAGTAAAACCACCAACAGGGTGAAAAATATCAAAATATTGTAGGCAGAGACGGGCTACAACTTCTGGATCCACTCTATATAAATCGTTTTATTGATTATCTTCTTATGAAAGATAACTTTGACGTACACGAGCGACCGGTACTGGCTGCTGTCACTTGTTGTGATTGGTTAAAGCAGCTCTCTGCTGTCTGAGGGTAGGCCCCGCCCACAACGCCACGGCTGCTGTGGCTCCCAGTGTTTTCTTTACTGTGGGAAACTGGTAATAACGGCTCTTTGATGGGAACAGGTTGCCGACCCCGACATAGAGAGACACAATCAGTGACATTCACAATTAGGGTCAATTTATGTCACTGCTCCCACAGTTTTCTAAAATATTGGGAAAAGTGTTTGTATTAAGGTTGGATAAATTCATCGAAAAAAATAATATTTTAAACAATGAAAAATGTGGGTTTACAACTAATCATTCCACAGCAATGGCAATAATGGAATTAAAATAACATAAATTATCAACAGCAATTGACAGTAAAAATGACTTTGTTAGTGTTTTCATTGATTTGAAAAAAGCATTTGACGTCAATGATCACTCAAGGTTACCTCGAAAATTAAGTCAGTATGGAATAAGAGGTGTGGCTCATCAATGGGTTAAAACTTATTTAGATAAAAGGAAACAGTTTGTTCAGATAAAGGACCATAAATCAAAACTATGTGATATTAATTGTGGAGTGCCACAAGGGTCGGTCCTCGGACCAAAGCTGTTCATTTTGTTTATTAACGACTTGGTAAATGTATCTAAGACACTCGGTACCATTCTATATACAACACTGTTTTACTCAGGATCAAATATTGAGGAGGTGACTAAAGTGATAAATTAAAAACTGGTTCGATATAAATAGATTGACACTGAATCTTAATAAAACTAATTTTATACTGTTTAATGATAAAAAGAACAGTGATGTGTCATTGGAAATAGATGGGATTGCAATTCAAAGAGTAAAAGAAACTAAATTTCTTGTAGTTCTTATTGATGAAGACTTGTCATGGAAATCCCATATTGGTTACATAAAAGGTAAAATTGCCAAATCCTTAGGAGTATCACATAGAGTCAAGTTTTTACTGACTAATTCTGGTTTGTTGGCATTGTACAATTCACTGATTGTTCCATACTTGACTTATTGTGTAGATATCTGTGGAGCAACATACAAAACCCTTATTTATTTTAAAGAAAAGAGCTCTGAGAATCATCAAGTATAGTGACTGTAGAGATCCATCGAACCCATTGTTTATTAAATATAAATTACTGAAGTTTCATGATTTAAAAGACTGGAAAATCTTACAAACCATGTATAAAGCCAATTTAGGTACTCTGCCAACAAACATTCAGGGGATATTTGAAAAGAGAACTAGTAATTACATGCTGAAAGAAACTGATGTGTTTACAAAACCTAGATTTAGAACTAAAATTAAGGAGTGGAATACATCTGTAAATGGTGTTAAATTATGAAATAACCTTAAAAGGGAAATTAAAAAAACTCTGTCATTTAATATATTCAAAAAATGTACCAAATTGAGTGTACTAAATAATTATGAAAATGTAAATCAAATCAATGATCATGATCGCACTGGAATTAAGAACAGGAAAAAGTTTAAAATGAGTCTGTATGTGTGTGTGTGTGTGTGTGTGTGTGTGTGTGTGTGTGTGTGTGTGTGTGTGTGTGTGTGTGTGTGTGTGTGTGTGTGTGTGTGTGTGTGTGTGTCTGACAAATGGAAATTGTATATAAATAGATTATTTCTTCTGGAAAAGGGGGCAGAAATTATAAGATGTTTTTCTTCATTCTGCTCATTTTCGTTCAAATTTGATTTTTTGTTATGTATTTATTATTGTTTATGTTTCATTTGTTTTATTTTGAATTAAATAAACTAAGAAAAAAAACTATATAAAAACGGCCTGGTTGAAGACCTTTATTTACTGATGAAAATGCTACTACTACTGTTTGTACCAAAATAAAATCACATTGTTTAGATTTGTAGAATTACTGCAATACATTTTTATATTAATGTTATTAATATTATATTAACAGTGATATTGATGCACAAATTCAAATAAAAATTGTCACTCACTTGATTTAAAATTAACAATGCTACCTACACCAGGGAGCCAGAGAACTACTGTAAAACATGTATTATTTGTCTAAACACATGCACAACAGTATAAAAACCTAAAATGGATCATTTGTATGAATATAAGCAAACATACTTGATACAGAGTATTAGTAATCTGTTGTTCTTTTGTAAATATTGAGTACTTAGTGATCTGATGTTTGTTTGCTAAGTAACTGGGTTAC